CATTTTAAAATGCAACCTCACAGTAACAATAGGGAAGCTGTGGCTCAGTGGATAGTGTGATGGACTTCGAATCAGGGGATAGCAAGTTTGAGTCCCACTGCAGTCAGCATGTCGTTGTGTCCCTGAGACACTTCACCCCAAATTGCTCCTGTGGGGGTTGTCCACAGTACTGAATGTATGTAAATCGCTTTGGATAAAAGTGTCTAACAAGTAACATGTAATGTAAAAAAAATTGTCAGTTCCTAAACAGGTTTTAATTGCAGTTTAGATTTTTTTAATGAAATGCCCACATGTTTTAGGATATTTTCTCTATTTTATGTTAAATCCTTATTTCCTAATTTTGCCAATTGATTTTGATTAAACTGTATTACATAGCTCTCACTAAACAGAGTCTTTGCTCTCTCATAGAGATACAGTGAAGCAGCTTAAATACATTTAAATGTGATTTAGTTAATCATGTTTTCTATATTTTCAGAGCACCCTTAAGGTACAGTACCAAGGTTCCTTCAACACGTTGAAAGGTGTCTTGTGCTATACAACTTAGAAAAGGGAACAATATTAACACTTAAGACCTTTGAACCAGCGGAAGTTTGACATTTTTTGCTTTAGAAACTAATTAAAAAGTTAATATTTAATCATCATTTTGCTGGAAATAAAAAGAAAACACACATTTACTAAAACTCATCCCGGAGATAAAATGATGAGCCAGCAGTGCAATAAGTAACTTCAATTATTTCCTTCCCAAAAGAAACCCTAACCCTCTGTACACTGAGTAACCAGAGTGATTCATCTCATTCATCATGTTGTTTCAGATCCAGTCAGCCTGACAGACCTGGTGGTCATCCTGATTAACATCGTATACCAACACCCCAAACCCCTGCACAGTGACCCCTCACACACAGGTGAGGCCACACACACTCACGCTGGATCAAATGCGTCACAGCGTTTCGACTTCCTCCCTGTTTTCTTGGGCAGACTGAGAGTCTGGGATCAGCGGGAACACGGTGACCCTCCCTATGAGGCGGAACCGCATTCCTTAGACCCATATCTTTTATCTCTTAAACTTGTACTGAGTCATAGACTTTTTCTGGTTGTCTCCTGGATGACCTTGCTTTATTGCCCCATTCATTCTCATGAAGTACACTACAGCAACGCTCCCTGCCAGTGATCGATAGTGTCCCCTGGCTTGACTTTGTCAGAGAAGGATCATCTCTCTTGGCTGCTGCGGCAGAGAGTCACGCGGAGCAAGTCATAGTTACGTATCGATATTTCACCTGCAGTCTGATGACGATCAGCTGCACCCCTTGTGAGGGTGTATTCTGAATAGTATCATGATGTTACATAATGCAATGAAAATGTCAGAGATTGCACAAAATGTAGGAGCCCGAACCCTAACCCTAACCCTAACCCTAACCCGAACCCTAACCCGAACCCTAACCCTAACCCTAACCCTTTAGGCAATATTTATGTAGAAATACAAAACATTTTCAACAAGAATGAGACTTTTGCGATGTTCTAACAACAGCCTTTTTATGTTTTTCCAAGGTAATGATTTATTTAAATGACCATTTTAAATGATTTCTTTATAGTTATTTTGAACTTCTGCATTCTATCCAATGGAGATGAATGTTTCAAAATGTTTTGGAGGAGAATTATCTAAATTATTATTTTTAAAAAAAAAGTAGATTTAGCAAGGCAGTGCGTAAGAGGTGATCTGGCACTCTCTGTTTTCATCCGTTCAGGACTTGAACCAGTACAGTTCTTGATTAAGTGTATATGAGTGGGACATTTGGTCATAGATTTCTTAATATACCTGTGTCCTAGGTGATCTGATTGATACTGTACATAAAAAATGCATCCGGAATTCAAGTCAAACTCACATTGACAGGTATAAAGTTGTATGTGTCTAGAAAAAAATGTTTAAATATATAACACCCCTCAAGCCTCCAGCAGCTTTGGTATGGGTGTCTTTCCTAAACTTGATTTCCAGGTTATCGACCAGTCCGGTGGACTAGCCAGACAATGTGTTTAGTGTCAGGTTAAAGGATATAAATATTCCAAGATGTATTGTATAATTCAGTTAAATGTGTGTGTGTTAGACTCGCTGACGCCCAGCTGTCTGGCGATGGAGGTGCTGTGGATGCTGTGTGAGAGGACAGAGAGCGCTGCAGAGTGTCTCCACCAGACCGCTGTCATAGAGACGCTGCTGGCTCCTGTCATCGCTCTGCTCAATGGACAGCAGGTGAAACGCTCACACTAAACACACACTGACATACGTTAAAGGTCCCCTATTATACTGTTTTTCATCAATATATTAAAGGTCTCATATAGATATATAGAAAACATGTCTCTGAAGTGTTTGCCTCCAAACACCAAACAGATCATTGCAGCATTACCCATAATCCCCTCTGTTTCAGCCCTGTTTCAAAAGTGCTGATTCTCTGTCTGTTACTTTAGATGAAAATAACGAGCCCCTCCCCACGCCCCTCTGAGAGACATTTGGTTACAAAGAACTCAATAATGCTCTAGGAGGAGATTCAGGTGATAAGGTGGGGGGGGGGTTACCTTGGTTGCTGATTGGCTAATGGTTACACAAGACAACACATCGTTATGACATCATAAAGTGGCCAAAATCTGATCAGCTCATTTTCAGACAGGTTTTTATGAGATAAAGTGAAGGACAAAGATTTCACGCGAATAGACCCCATATTTCGAAATTTTTCCTCCCCAGGACTCGAGTACGCCCTGGACGTCGGATGACAGATTTGGATTTATGACGGCACTACTTTGTGGTATAGTACCTAATAGTTCCTAATAAAGACTTTTCATACCTCGACGTTTCCGAAAGGAGGAACGGCCAATATGGTGTTCCACTCAAGGAAAAATGAAGGAGAAAGAAGTGTGTGTACGAGAGGTCATGTCCAACAGAGACTCCACAAACGCTAACGATTACATTTGTGGCTGGTATAATGAGGTTTTGTCAGGCCCGTAACAAAGGCTACCCAAAAAAAGTAGGTTATAATTGGTAGTAAATGGGAGATTTAAGTTATATGGAGATCACTCGCGGTCGGATAGCAGAATTAAAAGACATACGACCGGGAACCACTTTTTCAACTTGTGCGGGAGGTAATGTGCAAGCTTTATTTAGTTTACGTGATTACTTACTTTATTTTGCGGGGTCTCATTACTACTCAATGGAGAGGCCGTCGGTCGGAGTACGGCCGCCACGTGTCCTACATCTCTCCCAGAGAAAACACAAACGAGGAGCCGCTGCACTCGTCGTCGCTCAGGAGTTCGTCTCCCATCTGTGTCCAGTTAGTGACCGGGCTCACCCTCTCCACCGGTCCCACCTCTAGGGACTCTCTCTGCCGTTGTTGTGTGGTGTAAAGTCGGTTCTTGATTTGTAGTAAGGTGTTCACACGAGAGTTCTGTCGATTTCCATTTCTCTTGTGTCGAATTCAATTTCTTCGTGTTGGGGAGTTGACTTTGCTGTGCCGTGAACAAGAAGCAATCAGTGTATGGAGGTAGACAATACTCCAAGTTAAGTAAATTGGAAATAATTGGGTCTATTCTTGTTATAACTCTCTATAAAAACATTACCCCTGATCCTGGTTCTTCTTAGTTTCAGTCCATCCAAACATCACATATAGCATATATCTCACGCGCAACGGGGCCCTGCGGTAACCTACGGTTCAAAGGACAGGGAGGGGGCCATCCGCACCG